GGTGTCTCGGCTCAGCCCCGGAGCCGGTCCCTGCCCGGGTTTATGGGCACCATTTGGGACCCTTTTACACTTCCCGTATGCAGATGCCGCATCTGCACTTGAATGTCCCTGCCAATTTTTATGGTTTACAATTGCATTTTACCATCTTAAGGTACTCGGGTTCTCTACAAAGGGTTTGCTCAGACAAAAGAGGCTTTTTATCAGCAGCATCCTCGGTTTTCGAGATACGGGCGGTACCGAAAGATAGGCGGTGTGGGAAGGGCAGAAATGGGCATTGCTGTAAGCGCCCCGATGTGTAACGTGGAGTTGTCCCTAAAAGCGCTTTATTCCTCCTCGCTTAATTAGATGTCCAATTGGATGAAAGACACTTAATACTCTTAGATACTTTAATAACACTCTAATAACACTCTTAATGCTTTAATATAGCCTTAATGCATTTTGAACTTTCTGATTTAATTTGTGAAGTGTCTGTTGCTTTAGTGTCCCTAAGTGCACAACAATATTAATGCCTTGTCCACATTTGCTATTTTTCCCAGAGATGTGGGATTTTGAGGGAAATCTCTTTTGATTAATCAGATTAGTTGTAAGAGTTTTTTGCGTAGCTGTTTCTTGTGACAGATGTACCTGTGGCTGTGGTTAGTCTTTTGAATGGGTGATGTAACAACCTTTTACTACTTTGCCTTCAAAAATGTGAAATACTGCCGCGGTGTTGAGACATTGCTTGACCTTCAGTCTTTCTAAAGCCTCTGGGGGAGGAGCAGGAAAGATTGGGTTGTTAATTCATGGTTTTATAAAATACCTGCAAATGATAATGGCAAACGAAGGCTCTGAATATTTCATTTTCTTAAGAAAGATTCATAGTGCTTCTGATACCTTGAGGAACAGCATCTTAACAAAACCAGTGGAAACTGTAGGAGGACAGAGGTATAAAAGTCAGATTGTATTCTTGGTGTTAAAATGTTAATGTTAAAATCATTAATGAACTTAAGCTGTGCACGTGGCTTCTGTGTTAACCCAGAGTAAACTGCTGCAAGTTTATTGGCGCTTCAGTGAGAGAAGCCTCAGGATAACTTTGAAATGCAGGGTGTACTTTTATTTCAGCAGTTACAGGCAATTGCAGCCTCATTATTGGAGGGGACACTTGACGTTCTTAGAATATAAGATGATGGTTTTCACTTGCCAATTTGAGTACTTCCTCTTCCATGTAAGAAACGTATTTTGTCATTGAGCAAATCAATAGCAACGCATAAAACCAGGTTTTTTTAAAAGCAATTTCATTAAGGCATTCATTTTTCCTGCAGTAGTAGCAATTATTTCACAACAGGGTCCCATTTAACATCAGTCTTGCTATAGCTTCAGTTGGCATCTTTTTCCTCTGTGAGACATGATGGCTTTTACATCGTTTTAATTATTTAATGTCTTAGCTAAAATAGGGA